CTATATTGTAGAATAGGCTACTAAGCTGCTACCGCCGCTATGCAAGATCTGGTAAATTTTGACAAATCGCTCGTGAGCAGGCAAAGCGGACTAAATTGAGTCGAAAAGTGCTGTATTATTTTACAATTTTCGCAGGCATGCGAACAATATGATACTCGTATAACTCGTACGCATTACGTCGCATGCATGCGAGCAATATAAGATTCATATACAACGTTACCTGTGCGGATCATGTGAATCTCATACTGCTCGCACGCGTGTGACATCACATATGCGGATCATATGAGTCTTATATGAAATCAAAGAGATCCTCATATTGATCGCATGTGTACGACCTTATGCAATATGAGTCTCATATGAGGATCACATATGTGTGATGATATGCGCGCGCCATGATCATTATACGGGCATTTGGTATCTGGGTAGGCAATAATACATGTAGGCAAATGTGATTTTGTCTCTAAAATTTTTATTTGTGCGCAAAAATGCTTATAAACAATCGAGTTGTTGGCAATAATACATGTAAGCAAATATGATTTTGTTTCTGAAATTTTTATTTGTACGCAAAAGTGCATGTAGGCAATTGATTTGTAGTCAAACGGAATTCTCTCAACAAAATCTTCGCTACGATTCTGTCTATATAATACATTCTTTATATTTTCTAAGAATATCTTTTTTGCATATTTGTGTAATATTACAATATAAATAATTTCCTCTATATAATTTATTTTTGTATATATAACTTACAAAAAAATTGTCGTCATCCTCGTCGTCGTCATCGTTATCCTCATCGTCGTCTTCCTTGTCTTTCATATGGTGATCGAGTTTGTTGTTGTTGTTATCATTTTCTTCTATATTATTTTGTAAGTTATTTTTAGGATCTCTGCCAGACTAATTAAAGAGAAGACTAAATTAATAAAACGTTATTAACTGCTAATTTAGCTAATAATGTTTAGCTAATAATACTTTATATACAAAATTAGTAAGGTATATTGAGTTAGTATATAAATATAATAAATTTTAATATGTCCGTTGGACGTTTATTTGTCACAACTTCGGACTACATTGAATACGGGCTATATTATATTCATCCTATGGACGTATATAAATATTCAAATGATCGATTCAAAATCGAATCTACGACAATGTTAATTTCAGGTCTATGAAACGTGCGGATGTTAAATGGATACAATGTTTTAAAATGGATTGATCAATGTCTTGTGCTAATTGAGTAATAGTATAATAAAATGTTTTTGATAATACGCTAGTTAAAAGAGGGGGAGGGGAGAATTTCTGGTACATTTCTCGTTACATAATAGTGGATTCATAATTTTATAATTGCTAATTGTTTACTGCTCCTATGGCTGAGCGGAGCATCTTTGGTGTTTTTGTTTCTTGGTCATTGCCACTTGACTATATATATATATATATATATATTAAATGAGCGAGAGGTAGTCTACCGTTTAGGCCATAAGTTGTTTAAATTTGTACACTGAGGATGGCCCGAAGCGGTGCCGAAATGTATATGAATAGACTTGGCATTGTTTTAAGAAAAAACAATTATCATTACGCACTGATTATCATCACCACGATATAACTTTTATTAGCACTTATTATATTACATATTATTGTTGTAAATTAGTAAATTTAATATGTGTGACTTAGTGAGTTATTTGGTTAGTAATTAATTAAAAATAATATAAAATAAAACAAATTTAAAAGTACCATTTGATTAATTTCCCCTTCCCCGCGGGTTCAAAAGTTTCAAATCTTTTCAGTCGTTTTAGTTAAAATCCTAGTTAAACTCATGTCTATAAAATATATTTTCTGAATTCTTATTTCCATACATATAAGTTATTGCGAAAAATATTACTAAGGCGATAGTTTAAAGGTTTAAGGCACATGCACGAAATGCAAGAGACCTAGCTTTGATCCCCGGTCGAGATTATATTTTCCGCAATAAAATTTTTTACAGATTTTAGAGTACTTATCGGCATCAGAATATAAAGATTAATTTAACAAGGAGAGGACCAGACGTTCGGAATTCAGAAAAATTTTAAACTTACGATACATGAAGTGTACCACTCAGACATATTATTTTGGCCAAGCAGTAGAATGAGCTTCTCAGGCATTATCGAGAAAATCGATTTTGAAAAATTCTGAACCGTATATACGCTGACGATTGACCAGTTTTTAAACAATCTCGTAGCGTAACAGGTAGCGCTATTGCTTAGTAACCACAAGATTGTTGGTCCGATTGTTCTCTCATTGTCGGCTTTCTTTTTTTTTTATTTTAATATTTATATTCTTTCTATGTAAAATTAATCAAATTTGTAGGAATAAATGGATTTTTAATATAAATCTTCTGTGAAAAACGCATATTTCATTTACAACGTACCGAAAACCTGCGTTAAATAAAACCCAATGTAACAAGAGTTATTTTTGCGTTAAGGTTTCCTTTTTTGAGTTCTTTTTAATTTTATTTTTTGCGAATTTAACTTAAAATTTTTATATACAATATTTTTGAATGTAATTAGAAACATAAAATTCTCAAAAATATTAAATTTTCAAAATCACAAGGGAAATTTGGAACACTGACAAACTTCACAGGTATTTGATGCGGTTATTTGGATCTTCGGGTCGACCATTTTCTCAGGTAATAATATAGATCGAATAAATGAAACAACGAAACGTATACAAAAAATGTTGGATAGGCCTTGTGAAAAAATGGGGGAAGGTGTAGCTCGTATAACGTCGACTCGCATTCAACTTTTGATTTCCTGAGCAGTAACAAGTATATTTTTTTGGAGTATTTAGAAGCCATCCAATAATAAATATTATTATACATTATTTGTGTGTTCTATTTGTTCCTAATTCTCAAAACTGCAAAAATACTTCATTATATCGTTACATTGGTTTAATTTTTGGTTTGCTCTCGTTGTATTGCGTTGTATTCTCTAATTGTTCGTTGCATTGGGTTTTATTTATCGCAAGTCTGGCCCTCTCCTTGTAAGATGAATATGAGCATCAATATAATTAAATTGCTTGCTAATACTATTACTTTAGATATGTTAGAAACTTAAGATTAAACATAAATTCGACGCGCAGTTTGAGGGATCCGATGTAAGTATATAAACTTACATAGAATTATTTTAGACTAAAAATCTTATTTGATTGTTTAATAACTTTATTTATGATTTGTAGTCACATATGGTGTTATAAGATACTTCGTAATATTTTTTACATATTCTTAGAATATTTCTTATATATTATACATGATATATAATTTTATATAATTTATTTTTATATATTTAATTTAATTAAAAATCACGAATTCTGTTATTGCAGTGGTTGTTTTAGTTGTTGCCGTTGCCGCTGGCGTCGTCGTCATTGCCGTCGTCGTCGTCGTCATTGCCGTCGTCATCGTTGTCGTCGTCGTCGTCGTCGTCGTCGCCATCATCGTCGTCGCCATCGTCGTCGTCGCCATCATCGTCGTCGCCATCGTCGTCGTCGCCAACGTCATCGTCGTCGTCTTCGTTGTCGTCGTCGTCGTCATCATCCTCGTTGTAATCGTCGTCATTGTAGTTATGTTTGATATTGTAATTGTTTTCTTTTATATTATTCCGTAAGCTATTTTTAGGATTTCTGCCAGACTAATTAAAAAGAACATATCATAGAAAATTAAATTAATTAAAACTCATTAACTACTAATTTAGTTAATAATATTTAACTAATAAAACTTTATACACGAAATTATGGAGATTGATAAATAAATAATAAATTTTAATATGCTCGCCGGACGTCTGTTTGTCATAACTTCGGATATATTGAATGTATTCGAATGTACATCCTATTAACGTTCAAATAATTGATGTTAAAAATTAAACTTATGACCATAAGCACCAACTTGGAAAAAATATTGGAGCGGGAGAGGGGGGAAAGGGCACACTGAGAAATATTGAGTTAGGGACACACCAAGAAATATTGAGGGGGAGAGGACGATCGAGAAATATTGAGAGAGGAGACGAGGGCACAACAATATCCACTTTTTTGGGATATTCCTGAAATAAATCGCTGAAATAACAAATATCAAATTAAAGGAGATTTTAACGATTTCAGTGATTTATTTCCATGAAGAGTATCGCAAAAAATAGATAATGTTGTGTAGTTGACATCCATTTTTTCAGAGGACTGTAGTGCATAAGGTACTTTGCAGGTATTTCTTTACAGGGAAAAGATCCTCATATCCTTTTTCAGGTTTCTCTCTGGTACGTGTATGTGCAAGGACCGACACTAGGGATTCCAGGGACATGTTTGAATTCCCATCTGGGTACTTTCTAGGTACCATGTCATTCTTGTTATTTAACAAACGTTAAATAAGGATGACATGACATTTGACATTCGAGAAGCACTCTGATGAAATTAGAACACACCTCAACAAGAGACTAATTGTAAGTATAACATAATAATCATTTCATCCTTGTTTAACATTGGTGAACAACAAGAATGTAATACATTGTATCATACCGTGTCATCATACCGTTTCTTATTAAAAGGCATCCTAAGATAGCAGACGTGCCAGCGTCACCACTTTTAATTCGCCACGTCAACGTTATATATAATATAGGATAACTCCGGCAAATACGCCGCGCTGAGATTTATGCAAAAGTCAGAAAAAATAGAAGGAGTGGAGGTAATTTTCTCGCAACTACTCTGTTACATGTCTTTATGTTATGTTGTGTTACGATGTCAATTTCTTACTGTTAATAATAGTAAAATTATTTTGAGTTGAATCGATTTATCACTGTAATAAGTAGCGCCATCATAAATTATAATCTACATAAAATTATTACTGTAGGGCGTGTAAAAGACTTACAATTAGTGGTTATTTCGTGATACATACGTGTGGTAGAATAATAAAATATGTGGTATATCTATAAGCAAAATACAAGTGTTTTGCTTCCGTATTTTTG